GGGAACGCGCGTTCTGGCGGCAGCGCGGGCGGCGGCCGGTCCAGGTACTGGGCGCCCGGGGCTGGGAGGCTGAGGGGGCTGCCCTCGGCTGACGCGCTCCCTTCACAGGAGGACGTGGAAGCGGCGCCCAAGGAGACCCGCGGTGAGCTCGCGGGCGCGGGAAGAGGCGAGGGCCGAGGGAGCCGAGCGGGACCCGCCGAACCCTGAGCACTGCCCCGCCCCTGCCCCTAGCACTCTACCGCGAGTACCGCGCCCTGAAGGAGGCCCTGGGCCAGGCCGGCGACGTCGGGCCCCGCGTCCCCCTGCAGTCGCTGCCGGAGGCAGCAGAGGAGGTACCCTGGTCGCGATACCCTACCTTGAGGCTTAGTTTTCTGCGTGGCGGAGCCAAGAGGAGTCGTGGCCAAGCCTCCGTGGGGCACAGAATTTGGGAGGAGGGCTGGGCGGAGGAGGGCCCGGTCCCCCTCCAGGTGTCTGAGGGTCTGGGGAGGGGGGCAGGAGACACCTCTGTCCCCCACACCAGCCTTTCCGTCCGTACTGTCCCCTGCAGATGCCGGAGCCTAGCTGCTGGGGGTCCCATCTGAATCGGGCTGCAACCCAGAGTCCCCACCCTCCTCCAGGGCCGAGCCCCAGTGGGTCTGTGCGGGACTATGCGAAGAGGCTTAAGGCAAACCTACAGGGCGCCGTGCGGGTGAGCAGCAAGGTGGTTCAGGCCGGGTCCAGGTTTGCCCTGGCCCAGGGGCAGGATCACCAGGCACCCCTCCACGCACATGCACGTGCTTGCACTAGCGCACACACCCCTCCAGCACTAACCAGGCCACAGCTTCTGAAAGGAGGTCAGGGCCAGTTTCTGCTCTCAGTTTCCTTTCTATTCCAGCCTCATTGAGGGTGGGGTTAGGGGGACTCTGACAGGTTCCAGAGTCTGTGGCAGCCCAGAGCCTGAGTTCCTGCTTGCTTGCCTGTCTCCCCCTCCCAGGCTGGGCCAGACCTGGGCCCAATACCACGGCCTCCACGAAGACCCTCACCCAAGGTGCCTTACCTGGGGCCATCATCTGCAGGGACTGCCCCTGTGTCTCCTAAAGAAGTCAGTGAGATACCCCCCCAGCTTCCCAGGCCCCAGCTGAGGCCAGGCCGACTCCAGCAGCTGCAGGAATCCTTGAGCCTGCGGCTGGGCTCCCTAGATCCTGGCTGGCTGCAGCGGTGTCACAATGGGACCCTAGATTTTCTGGGGACTTCTAAGGTCTGCCAGCCTGTCCTGGGTACAGAGGAGCCACAACCCCTGACTTTAGGTGTCCCATCTGTCCTTGGCCCCAGCACAGGCCCTGAGGCACCTTTACAGGGCCCAGAGGCTCCAGCTCTAGTGGTGGCTGGAGTCAGTGCAGGGAGCCCCCTACTGGGCAGCAGTCAAGGCAAGAAGCAGAGACGGAGTGCAGAGCCAAAGGGGACCTCTGCACAGATCCAGCAGCACAGTGACGAAGCAGGTGCCCCGCTGGAGGGAGCCAGGGCTGGAGTGCATGCAAAAGATTGTCCAGGGGAGCCCATGCAGTCACAGCCCCTCACCAGCCCCCCAGCCCCCAGGTAATATAATTTGGGTTTCCTTGAGTTGGGCTAGGGTGTGGAGGGCTATGGGCAAGGCCCACCTGTATGTCCATTCTAGGCCAGCTGTTTGGGACAGGGGTAATTATGTTCGGCTCAACCTGAAGCAGAAACGCTGTGTTCGGGGCCCAGCCCTGCGTGGCAGACTCCTCCGAAAGCAGGTGAGATAGTGGAAGGCGCTTCCCTCATCCCTCCTGCCCCTCGCCTTGTGACCCTCCTTTGTGCCCCACCCCAGGCATGGAAACAGAAGTGGAGAAAGAAAGTGGAATATTTGAGGGGTAGGCAACCCAGAGCCACAGTCAAGGATTCTTGCTTCCAATGTGGGCAACTTGGCCACTGGGCATCGCAGTGCCCCAGACCAGGTAAGGCCTCTGTCCTGGATAGTGTGTTGGGCCAACATTGCTTGGAAAGGGTATTGTGTTCTTTGGGGTGCGGCCAGTTTGGCTTAAGCAAAAGGCCCTCCTCTAACTCCCTACCCCAGGCCCAAAACCTACCCTGGCCCCCAAGAAGGAGGGTGACAAAGATGAAGATGACATGCAAATGCTGCTCACATTGGAGGAAGTGGCTCAGAGGACGGATACTGCCTACCGCCAGCTCCCTGGTGAGCAGAGAGATAGCCACCTGCCTTCTTGTTGGAATGATGCGAGCCTAGCCTAGAGCTTCCACACCACCCTCTCTTGTCTGCCCCCAGCAAGTACGGAAGATACAGAGCCTGCTGGGTCTGAGTTGCTGGCTCCCATGGAGGGGCCTGTGCCTGGCGCACCCTGCCCGCCCCCAACTGTGCCACCACTCTACTGCCGGGGGCCCTTGGGGCAGGTGGCAGGTGAGCAGATGCCTACCAGCCTAAAACCTTTACTGAAAGGTGGGGGCAACTCTGGGCCACACCAACCAACACCTGTGTTCATAGAGACGCCAGCTGAGGTGTTTCAGGCCTTGGAGCAGTTGGGGCACCGAGCCTTCCGCCCTGGGCAGGAGCACGTGGTCATGCGAATCCTGTCTGGTGAGCATGGCTGCCAGGGGGAGTGAGGTGGAGCTGAGGCCAGGCCACAGAGCAGCACTGCTGACCTCGGTCCTACCTAGGCATGTCCACACTGCTGGTGCTGCCTACCGGTGCTGGCAAATCCCTGTGTTACCAACTCCCTGCACTGCTCTATGCCCGGCGAAGCCCATGTCTCACTCTGGTCATCTCTCCTCTGCTGTCCCTCATGGACGACCAGGTGTGTGGACAGAACCCTCAGACATGAGTGGAAGGCAGGCACCGGCACCCACAGCTTTTCTGTTCCCTTGGGCCGCTTCTTACTCTACCTCAGAGCCGTGAGGGTCCCAACAGTTCTCAGACCACCAGCTCGGTCCACAGTCCTCAGCCTGGCAGTGGCCTGAGGGCAGGAAGAACATGGCTCTCCAGATCCTCCCCTAAAAGGAGTAGTGGGGGAGGGAGACATCCCCAATGGGGCCTGTCCCTAGTGCTCCTGAGCCCAGGCCCAGAGGCAGCTCTGAACTCTTAGTTCTAGGACCCAGGGTTAGTGTATTTTCTCAGAAGACTTGGGGTGGATACAGCGGTAGCTGTCCAGCTGAGTGACTTGGAGAGGCGTCTGGGGAAGGGTCAGGGCTAGATAACCTTCAACAGGCTATGCTCCTGTATCTGCAGCTGTCTGGCCTGCCCTCAGGCCTGAAGGCTGCCTGCTTGCACTCAGGCATGACCAGGAAGCAGCGAGATTCTGCCCTGCAGAAGGTGAGGGGCCTCACTGGTCAAAACCCTTGGGGGTGGCAGGCAGGGCCCTCGACGGTGGTCCTGACCTTGCTATCCACAGGCTCGGGCAGCCCAGGTACATGTGCTGATGCTGTCACCTGAGGCACTGGTTGGAGCTGGGGCCGGGGGCCCTGCCTGCCTCGCTCAGCTGCCCCCGGTGGCCTTTGTCTGTGTTGACGAAGCCCACTGCCTCTCTCAGTGGTCCCACAACTTCCGGCCCTGCTACCTACGCATCTGCAAGGTGAGCCTTGTCCTGGATATAGATGAGCAGGTAAGGGAGGTGGGGTGGGCATCCTCACTGCCCCACTCCTGCACAGGTGCTGCGGGAACGCCTCGGTGTACACTGCTTTCTGGGTCTCACGGCCACAGCCACACACAGCACCGCTCTTGATGTGGCCCAGCACCTAGGCATCGCCAAGGAGGCTGTACTCAGGGGACCAGTCACCATCCCTACCAACCTGCACCTCTCCGTGTCTATGGACAGGGACCCAGACCAAGTAGGTGTGCACACACCTGGTAGAGGTTTTGTCTTTCAAATACCTGCATTGACTACTATCTCTCACCAGGCTCTGGTGACACTGCTGCAGAGTGACCGTTTCCGCTCCCTGGACTCAGTCATCGTCTACTGCAACAGACGGAAGGACACTGAGCGTGTCTCCGCTCTGCTCCGTACCTGCCTGCCTCAGGCCAGGGCTCTGGGGCCTGGAGGTGAGGCTAGGGCAGGGCTGTGCCCACAGACTTGCCCAGGCATGCACCCCACCAACCATCTGTCTTCCATGCAGGCCAAGCCCTGGAGGCCGTGGCTGAAGCCTATCATGCCGGCATGTGCAGCCGGGAGCGGCGGCGGGTACAGCAGGCCTTTATGGAGGGCCGGCTGCGGGTGGTGGTAGCCACAGTGGCCTTTGGGATGGGACTGGACCGGCCAGATGTGCGGGCTGTGCTGCACCTGGGGCTGCCCCCGAGCTTCGAGAGCTACGTGCAGGCTGTGGGCCGGGCCGGGCGCGATGGGCAGCCTGCACACTGCCACCTCTTTCTGCAGCCGCAGGTTGGTGCCTACCAACTTGAGCTCCCTCCACCCCTCCCAGTGCCATGGCTGCACATTCACAGCTGTCCTGCTGCAGGGCGAGGACCTTTGGGAGCTGCGTAGACACGTGCATGCCAATGCCACCGACTTCCTTGCTGTGAAAAAGCTGGTACAGCGTGCATTCCCGCCCTGCACCTGCTCCCGGCCGCTGTCGGAACAGGAGGGAGGCGAGAGACAGGAGAGGTGCTCGTCCACGCAACCCAGCTGTGAGCAAACAGCCCGGTGCCCAGGCCACAAGCGGGCACTCCCAGTGCAGCTAACAGTGCAGGCTTTGGACATGCCTGAGGAGGGTAAGGAACTGGGGCAGGTGTTGGGGTCACCTCATAGCCCCATGTTCTCTGAGTCCAGCTCTTCCCCTAGTCATTGAGACCCTGCTATGCTACTTGGAGCTGCACCCACAGCGCTGGTTAGAGTTGCTGGCACCCACCTATACCCACTGCCGCCTGCGATGCCCTGGGGGACTCACCCAGCTCCAGGCCCTGGCCCACAGGTGAACACACATCCTACCCCAGAATGGTGACAGGGACAGAGGACCTGGGCTGCCAATCACTCTTCCCTTTCCCTGGCATAGGTGTTCCCCCCTGGCTGTATGCTTGGCCCAGCAGCTGCCTGAGAACACAGGTCGGGGAAGCAGCTCTGTGGAGTTTGACATGGTCGAGCTGGTGGACTCCATGGGCTGGGAACTGGCCCCCGTGCAGAATGCCCTCCACCAACTGCAGTGGGACCCAGAGCCCAGGACAGGTGTGCCCTACTCCTGGCCCTGTATGCCACCTGCCTGCCAACCTGCCCATCTAACAGGCTTTCTGGCAGGTGTGCGTCAGGGCACAGGGGTGCTGGTGGAGTTCAGCGAGCTGGCCTTCTACCTGCACAGCCCCGGGGACCTGTCGGCCCAGGAGAAAGACCAGATCTGTGACTTCCTATATGGCCAAGTGCAGGCCAGAGAGCAGGAGGCCCTGGCCTGCCTGCACCTTGTGTTCCAGGCCTTTCACAGGTGCCAGAGAGGGTGGGCATAGTGTGGTTCCCCACCCCCCACCCCAGAGGGTGCCTCTGACGAGCTCATCCCACCCCAGCGTAGCCTTCCCCAGCTGTGGGCCATGCCTGGAGCAGCCGGACGAGGACTGCAGCGCCCGACTAAAGGCCCTGCTCAGCCACTACTTTGAGAAAGAGGGCCCAGGGGGCAAGGAAGAAGCACAAGGTCCAGAGCCAGGGCAGGCTGAGGTGAGTACTAGCCCCTCCTGGTCCTGGGACAAGATTAGGCAGCCACATGCACACACACTTGCCTCCTGCCCTGCACCCAGGCCCTGTGGAGTGGGGTACCCTGGAAACTCAGGTTGTTCTGACATGCTTCCACCCTCAGCTCCAGGACTGGGAGGACCAGATCCGCAGGGACATCCGCCACTTCCTATCCTCGTGGCCAGAGCAGCAGTTCTCCGGCAGGGCTGTGGCCCGCATATTCCACGGCATTGGTGAGGGCCTTGGAGGCTCGGTCTCACACAGGCATGGGCAAAGGGCTGGACCCAGGTGACAGTCTTCAGGGCCTTTTCCTCCATTCCACCACAGGAAGCCCCTGCTTTCCAGCCCAGGTGTATGGGAGGGACCGGCGCTTCTGGAGGAAGTACCTGCACCTGAGCTTCCACGCCCTGATAAACTTGGCCACAGAGGAGATCCTGCTGTGGGGCCGTTGACCACCTTGCCTCAAACAGGCCCTGTGCCCCATGTCAGACACAAATGTGAACAGGGGTGTATCATAGCATGGAGAATGGCAGGTGTAAGGCAAAGACAAGGGGATATCAGTGACCAGGACAGTGACTGACCACGTTGGGCAAAGCCCACTGCCAGGAATGTGGGCACAAGGAGGCCCCCAAAATACAGAATAAAAGATGCTTGCCCTGGCTGGTGTGGCTCAATTGGTTGGGCATCATCCCATGCACCAAAAGACTGCCAGTTTGATTCCCAGTCAGGGCACTTGCTGGCTCGCAGGCCTGACCCCCAGTGGGGGCCTGCAGGAGGCAGCCAATCAGTGACTCATCAATATTTCTATCTCTCCTCCGTCTGTAAAATTAAAGCATTTTAGTAAAAAAATCAAAAATATTTTTTAGTAAGATGCTCAAGTTGTTTTTAGGGACCCTCCTTTCCAGTGGGGCGGTGCCAGTCTCAGGACAGCCTCGGGAACCACACATCCCAAACAGACACAAACAGGCCATAGTCACACTTGGCTTTATTGACTAGTCTTCCCACCCAGCTCAGGCCAGGATTCTGGGTGCCAGGCCCAGGTATAGAATGGGCGTGACTGAGAGAGCAAGGAACAGTGAGAAACAGAGGTGTAGCCCCAGGCTGTCGGCCAGGGCTCCAGCCAGTGTACCTAGCAGCAGTTTCCCCAGCAGCTCCAGTGTGGCCAGGAGGCTGTAGTGTGTGGCCTGAGGTGGAGGGGGGCAGGGAAGGTCAGATTAGGACTTGCTTGGAGCCCAGCCCAGCATCCCCTCGGTGTCCCAGCCATGCCTCCTCACCTGCAGGACGCTGGGTGCCAACTGGCTACAGCGCATCATCAGGGTGAAGGTGGCAGTTGTGACCAGGCCCCCCAGGAAGTGCTGCAGACACAGGCTCAGCAAGGCTGCCCCTGGGAGGACCAAGGTCAGCCGGGTCCAGGATGTATGATGTTCCTCCCCCCTGCCCAGCCCCTTACCTCTCAGGACTGTGCCAGGGCCCAGCTTGGCCCCTAGGGTGTCCAGGTAGAAGAACAGGGTGGTCTGGCAGGCAAGGCCCCCAAGACGGAACTGAAGTACTGATCTCAGCAGGGGCAGCAGCTTCCTGGGGTGGGGAGACGGCAGGTCAGGGGTTTGGGGCAGATTAAGGGGTGGGCAGATGAGTGGGACAGGCTGAGGAAAGCTCACCGGTGCCTGGACAGCAGAGCCCCACCCAGGGATGAGCCAGCAATGGAGCAGGCCATGGCGCCCACACTGTTCCACAGCCCTAGCTCCGGGGTGGAGAGGCCTCTGTCCAATAAGAGGAGTGGGAACAGACTGCTGGCGCCCTGCTCACCTGTGGGGAGAACGTGAGGAGGTATGAGCCCGCCTCCCTTTTTTCCCCACCTGGGGCCTTGGTCATATTCCTCAGCCAGACTGCTACTCCGCAGAGTCAGCATGGCTAAGGGGTTGTGGCTGGAGTTCAGAGTGGCCATGCAGCTAAAGCTGAAGAAGGACAAGACACAAGGCCCAGCTGCAGGGCATGCCCCAGAAAGGGCAGCCCTGTGAGTGAGTTCCAGGGCTCCCGGGCACCCACCTGGAGCTCCCCCAGGTCCCCACCCCTGCTGTTGCCTGACTTAAGCTCTCACTCACCCAGCTTGTAAGTGAGCACAAAACCTGCAGTCCATTGGGTCCCCGGCACAGCCAGCAAGTCCTGCAGAAGGTAGAGGGTGTGTGGGGGAAGTTCTGAGGGCTGAGGCGAAGGCAGTTGTTGCAGGGCCGGTGCAGCCCAAGCCAGGGCAGCAGCTAGCCAGTAGGTGGCAGCCAGGAGCAGAAACAGCTGGGGCCAGGAGAGGGTGGGCACAAGGGCCAGCAGCCCACCCCCCGCCAGCACTGACCCTAGCTTGTAAGCGACCACCTGCACGGTATTGCCAGGTCCCAGTTCCGCGGGTTCCAGGAGCTGCACAGCCAGTGTGTCAAGGGCCACATCCTGCACAGCTGCACCCAGGTTCAACAACAGAAGCAGCCCTGCCACGATAACCGGCAGCTCAGCCTGGCCAGCTTCAGCAGGAGGTAGGGCTGCCAGCAGTCCGCACACCAGGCCCAGAGTAGCCGTGCTGAGCATCAGCCAAGCCCTGGGGGAGCCCCGCATGTCCAGCAGTGGGGCCCACACTAGCTTGGAGAGCCAGGGCACGTACAGCATCTTGGCCAGTCCCACACGAGTCAGGGAGAGGCCACCAGCTCGCAGCAGCATGGGCAGCAGACCAGACTGCAGCCCGTAGGGCAGGCCCTGCACCAGGTAGAGACCAGCTAGCGGCAGCAGCTTCCCCCGCATGGCCAGGAGAGCGGGTCTGCGGCCGGGTTGGGGGCTGGGGCCGAGTTCAAGGCTGGGCCTGGGGTGGAACAAGGCGGAACGGTTTCGTGTGTGACCTGGTCAGGTCAAGGGTCACGCGGTGGCATGGCCTTTGGACTTGGTCAGAAGGAGCTAGGGTTGGATAGGCTGGTGTCCGTACCTCCGTAGAAGAGCAAGCCCTCCTTTGCCCTGGGAACCGCTCAGGCCACAGCGCAGCCTGGAAGCGCAGGCCATAGAGCAGCGAAGCGGGCCAGAGCGCCCGCCATACTCAGGCGTCCCCGGTGGCCAACCTGGGTATTGCGGGTGAACGACAGGAAGCTGGACCTGGACTCATTCTGTTCTTTCTCAGGCTTATCAGACCACTTGGGACCTAGGTCTGAACTCTGCAGAAGTGCTTCATGGTATCTCACCAATAGCCCGCCGAGTCTCTCCAGCACTCCCCATGGAGGAGCTCGCCTCTTTTTTAATATTTTTAATCCTCACCCTAGGATATTTTTTCCATTGCTTTTCAGAGAGTGGAAAGGACAGAGAGAAACATCCATGTGAGAGAGAGACATTGATTGGTTGCCTCCTGCAGTGCCCCAACTGGGGTCGAGCCTGCATCAGAGGTACATGCCCTTGGCCAGAATCAAACCCGGGACCCTTCAGTCTGAAGGCCAACACTCAAACCACTGAGCAAAACCAGCCAAGGCAGAGCTGGTTTCTTAAAGTTCCACTGTCTAGCACAGGGCAGGTACTTCTGCCCCTGGCCCTGCCTGTGTTTGTGGTTTCAGCAGTGACCAAGCTCCCAAGCCCAGCCTATTCCGGCTGGCCCTGCCAAGAGAAGCCGAAAATGTGGGTCCTCTGTGGCCTCTCCTACCCAGAGCTGCACGCTTGAGGATAAGAACTGCCTCCAGTCTCTGAGCCCATGGGTCCCTGAAGCTGACCCTAGACCCACTTGCAGACACTTGAGCCAATGCACTCTGTCAGGTGCTAGGGTCACTGTAAGTGGGTTTCATTTCTACATATTTTGGGGTTCTGAAGTTTCCTCATCTTTAAAATAGGGACTACCAAGGGGATTCCAAGACGGCAATGGATTGAGTGGAAGCTACACTGACACTCTCCCAGGACCAAACTGAAATTATAACTAAAATATAGAAAAACCATCCTGAATAATCAACTGCAACTGAAGACTAGCTGGAAAGAACCCTCAAAACGGAGGAAAAGTGGAGACCACACAGAGATGTGTAGGAAGTGCAGACACGAGAGGGCTGGCTGGGCTCCCACAGACAGCAGCTGAAGGTCTGGAGGGAGATCTCAGCTCTGGGGGTTCTGAGAACTCTGGGGTCTAAACACCAACCTGGGCTTCCCAGCCCAGAGCACCAGAACTGAGAAAGGTGCCCACGTAGCATCTGACTGTGAAAAGCAGCAGGGTTTCTCTCTGCTAGGGAGAGACAGCTGGAAATGCAAGCACCTTCTTAAAGAGCCAATGAGCAGTTTCGTGTGCAGCCGCTCACCTTGGGCTCCAGCAGAGGGAGGGCAGAGTGAACTGGAGCTGTGTGAGGAGAATCTAGGTTGTGGACTCTGGAGACAGAGCTCAGAGGTCACGCATCTGGACTCCGGTGGTGAGTCATTACCCCATACAGCAGAGGACATCTTTCTCAAGCAGACTTTTGCCAGCCAGACAGCTTTTGTCTGGAGGGGAAGCAATTGCCCCACCCACTGGAAAACCTCTCACCCCACCCTGTGGAATTTACACTTTGCTGTGGTCTACAGCATGAGGTGCTTTAAGGTGGATCTCTGGATGTTTTGAGTCTTTGCCTGATCTGCTTCGAGACCCCGGCCTTGGAAAAGCCACTTTGGTGTGCATCTTGGTCCTGTCCAAATGCACAGCCCCAGCAGAAGAAAAAACAAGCCAGCCCAGTAGAGGGAACCACAAGCCATGGGTTGCTGATAGCTCCAAACAGGATTCTCAAGACCAGTAACAAACAGCATCTGATACTGGCCTGCACTAGAGACCCTACAAAAAGATTGAGTCCTGGCACATCTACCTAATACATAGAAACAAACCCAAATAGGTATCCAAAATGAGGAGACAAAAAAACAAGCCCCAAATGAAAGAACAAGAGAAGTCTCCAGAAAAAGAGCTAAATGAAATGGAGATAAGCAACCTATCAGAGCTAGAATTCAGAATAATGACTGTAAGGATGCTCAACAGCATGAGAAGAGATATGGAAACTATAAAGGAAATTAAGAACAACATAGAAAAAATAAAAAATACATTAGAAGGCATAAATAGATTAGAAGAAGCTGAACATGAAATCAGCAAATTAGAAAATAGGGTAGAAAAAAAAACATTCAATCAGAGATCCAAAAAGAAAAAACAAATAGCTCAGCCGGCATGGCTCAGTGGTTGAGCAGTGACCTATGATCTAGGAGATTGTGGTTCAATTCCCAGTCAAGGCACATGCCCCATTTGAGGACTTAATCCTCAACTTACAATCCTATAAGCAGGGGGCATGCAGGAGGCAGCCAAGCAATGATTCTCTCTCATCATTGATGTTTCTATTTCTCTCTCCCTCTCCCTTCCTCTCTCTGAAATCAATAAAAATATATTTTAGGAAAGAAAAAAGAAAAAACAATTAAAAAACAGGAGGACAGTTAAGGGAGCTGTGGGACAAAATGAAACGTAACAATATTCACATTATAAGAGACACAGAAGGAGAAGAGACTACGCAAGGGATAGAGAATTTGTTTGAAGAAATAATGGCAGAAAACTTTCCTAACCTGATCAAGGAAAAGGTGACACAAGTTCAGGAGGCACAGAAAGTCCCAAGCAAGAAGAACCCAAAGAGGCCCACACCCAGACACATCATAATTAAAATGCCCAAAATTCAACACAAAGAGAGACTCTTAAAGGCAGGTAGAGAAAAGCAATCTGTTACCTACAAAGGAGCTCCCATAAGGCTGTCAGCTGACTTCTCATCAGAAACTCTACAGGCCAGAAGGGAGTGGCATGAAGTATTCAAGGTAATGCAAAACAAGGATCTGAAACCAAGACTACTCTATCCAGCAAGGCTATCATTCAAAATAGATGGTGAAATAAAGAGCTTCCCAGACAAAAAAGGCTAAAGGAGTTTATCACGAACAAACCAGCATTGCAGGAAATATTAAAGGGTCTGCTGTAATAAGAAGTAGAAATAGAGAGAGAAACATAGGCATAAAGAAGTAAAATGGCAATAGACAAATACATATCAATAATAACCTTAAATGTAAATGGATTAAATGATTCAATCAAAAGGCATGAGGTAGCTGAGTGGATAAGAAAACATGACCCAAATATATGCTGCCTAAAGAGACCCACCTCAGAACAAAAGGCTCACACAGGATGAGAGTGAAGAGACAGAAAAAAATTTTTCCCTGCAAATGGAAATGAAACAAAGCTGGGGTAGCAACACTCATATCTGAAAAAATAGACTTCAAAATAAAGACCATAAGGAGAGACAAGAAAGGTCACTACATAGTATTAAAGGGATCAATCCAACAAGAGGATATAACTCTGATAAACATATATGCACCCAATATAGGAGCACCTAAGTTTATAAAAAAACTTCTGGAGGATTTTAAGGGAGAGATTGACAGCAATACAGTCATAGTTGAGGAATTTAACACTCCACTGACTTCACTGGATAGATCTTCCAGACAAAGAATCAACAAGGAAACAGTGGCTCTAAATGACACAAGAGATCAGATGGATTTAATTGACATTTACAGAACATTCCACCCCAAAGCTGCACAATATACATTCTCCTCAAGTGTGAATGGGACATTCTCAAAGATAGACCATATCTTAGGACACAGAACAGGTCTGTACAAGTTCAAGAAGACTGAAATCATATCAAGCATCTTCTTGGGTCACAATGGAAAAAAATTAGAAATCAACTACAATAAAAACAAAAAAAAACATTCAAACACATGGAGGCTAAATAGCATGTTACTAAACAATGAATGGGTTACCAATGAGATCAAGGAAAAAATCAAACACACTTCCTGGAAATAAATGAAAATGAACANAAAACTTCCTGGAAACAACTGAAAATGAACAGACAACAACCCAAAATCTATGGGACATAGTGAAAGCAGTCCTGAGAGGGAAGTTCATAGCACTGCAGGCCTCCCTCAAAAAGCAAGAAAAACTTCTAACAGACTCTCTAACCCTACAAATTAAAGACTTAGAGAGAGAACAAAAAGAAAAGCCCAGAGGAAGTAGAAGGAAGGAAATAATAAAGATCAGAGCAGAAATAAATGACCTAGAGATTAAAAAAACAATACAACAGATCAATGAAACCAAGAGCTGGTTCTTTGAAAAGATAAACAAGATTGATGAACCTTTAGCCAGACTCATCAAGAAACAAAGAGAGAGGACCCAAGTAAACAAAATCAGAAATGAAAGAGGGGAAGTAACAACTGACCCAACAAAAATACAAAGAATTGTAAGAAAATACTATGAACTATACGCCACCAAGCTGGACAACCTGGACAAAAAGGACAAATTCCTGGAAACATACAACCTTCTAAAGCTGAATCAGGAAGAGACAGAAAACCTGAACAGGCCAATAACTGCTGATAAATTGAAGCAGGAATAGAAAACCTCCCAGCACACAAAAACCCTGGCCTGGATGGCTTCACAGGGGAGTTTTACCAAATATTCAAAGAAGAACTAACACCTACCCTCCTCAAACTATTCCAGAAAATCCAAGAGGGAGGAACACTTCCAAACTCTTTTTATGAGGCCAGCATTATCCTTATTCCAAAACCAGATAAAGACACTACAAAGAAAGAAAATTACAGGCCAGTATCCCTGATGAACATAAATGCTAAAATCCTCAACAAAATATTAGCAAATACGATCCAGCAATATATTAAAAAGATCATACACCATGACCAAGTGGGATTTATTCCAGGATGCAAGGCTGGTACAACATTCGCAAATCAATAAATGTGACACATCACATAAACAAACTGAAAGACAAAAATCACATGATCATATCAATAGATGCAGAAAAAGCATTCGACAAAATCCAACACCTATTTTTGATAAAAATGCTCAGCAAAGTGGGAATAGAGGAAACATACCTCAACATAATAAAGGCCATATATGACAAACCTACAGCCAACATCATACTCAATGGGCAAAAACTAAAACCATTTTTCCTAAAAACAGGAACAAGACAGGGGTGTCCACTTTCACCACTCTTATTCCACATAGTACTGGAAGTCCTTGCTACAGCGATCAGACAGGAAGAAAGCATAAAAGGTATCCAAATTGGAAAGGAGGAAGTAAAACTCATTATTTGCAGATGACATGATGTTGTACGTAGAAAATCCTAAAGACTCCCCTGCAAAACTACTAGATTTAATAAATGAATTCGGCAAGGCAGCAGGATACAAAATTAACACCCAGAAACTGACGGCATTTTTATACACCAACAATGAACTCTCAGAAAGAGAAACTTAAAAAACAATCCCATTTACCATTGCAACAAAAATATTAAGATACTTAGGAATAAACTTAACCAAGGAGGTAAAAGACCTGTACTCGGAAAACTACAGGACACTGAAAAAAGAGATAGAGGAAGATATAAATGAGTGGAAGAATATACCATGTTCATGGACTGGAAGAATTAACATCATTAAAATGTCTATACTACCCAAAGCAATCTATAGATTCAATGTAATCCCTATTAAAATACCAATAGCATATTTCACAGATCTAGAACAAACACTCCAAAAATTTATATGGAACCAAGAAAGTCCCCAAAGACCCTCAGCAATCTTGAGAAAGAAGAACAAAGGAGAGATCACAATACCAGATATCAGGTTATATTACAAAGCCACTGTAATCAAAACAGCCTGGTATGGGAGTAGGGAGGTGGGGAAAGACTAACCAAAGAATTTATATGCATAACCCAAGAACACAGACAATAGTGTGGTGAGGGGGGAGGAGGTAAATGGGGAGAAACGGGGACATCTGTAATATTTTAAATAATAAAAAATAAAATAAATAATAATAATAAACCAGCCTGGTACTGGCACAAGAACAGACATATAAATAAGTGGGACAGAACAGAGAACCCAGAAATTGACCGATGCCATTACCCTCAATTAATATTTGACAAAGGAGGAAAGAACATACAGTACAGTAAAAACAGTCTCTTCAATAAATGGTGCTGGGAAAATTGGACACCTACATGCAAGAAAATGAAACTAGACCACCAACTTACACCATACACAAAAATAAACTCAAAATGGATAAAAGACTTAAATGTAAGACATGAAACCATAAAAATCCTAGAGGAAACCATAGGCAGCAAAATCTCAGACATCTCTTGTAGCAATATGTTTGTCGATACATCTCCTAGGGCAAGAGAAACAAAGGAGAAAATAAACAAATGGGAGCATCAAAATAAAAACCTCCTGCACAGCAAAAGAAACCATCAACAGAATGAAAAGGGAGCCCACTGTATGGGAGAACATATTTGCCAAAGACACACCTGATAAAGGGTTAATATCCAAAATATATAAGGAACTCATACAACTTAACAAAAGGAAGACAAACAATCCAATTAAAAAATGGGCAAAGGACTTGAATAGACACTTCTCCAAAGAGGACACACAGATGCCAAGAGACATATGAGAAAATGCTCAATGTCACTAATCATCAGAGAGATGCAAATTAAACCACAATGAGGTGTCACCTCACACCCGTCAGAATGTCCACCATCAACAAATCAACAAATGACATGTGCTGGCGAGGGTGTGGGGAAAGGGGAACCTAGTGTATTGCTGGGGGGAATGCAGACTGGTGCAGACACTATGGAAAACAGTGTGGAGGTTCCTCAAAAAATTAAAAATGGAGCTGCCTTTTGACCCAGTGATCCCACTCCTAGGAATATATCCTAAGAATCCTGAAACACTAATCAGAAAGAACTTATGCACCCCTATGTTCATAGCAGTGTTATTTACAATAACCAATATCTGGAAACAGCCCAAGTGCCCATCAGTAGATGAGTGGATAAAAAAGCTGTGGGACATTCACACCATGGAATACTATGCAGCTTTAAAAAAGTAGGGACAGCATGGATGGACCTGGAGAGAATTATGCTGAGTGAAATAAGCCAGGCAGAGAAAGAAAAGTGTCACATGATCTCACTCATATGTGGAATCTAAAGAACATAATAAACTGATGAACAAAATGGATCCAGAGACACAGAAGCATGGAACAGACTGAGGGATCTCAGAGGGAAGGTGGAGGTGGGTGGGTAGGTGGGGAGATTAATCAAAGAAGTTATATGCATAAGTGCATAACCCATGGACACAGACAATAGTGTGGGGAAGGCCTGGGGGTGGGGCAGATGCAGGGTGGAGGGGATCAATGGGGGTGGAAAAGGGGAACATCTGTAATACTTTCAAAAATAAAGATAAATTTTAAAAAAGAAAAATGGGAACTACCACCCTGGCGGGTATGGCTGTTGGTTGAGCCTTATTCCCTGCATGGAGAGGTCGCCAATTGATTGCCAGTCAGGACACATGCCACGGGTTGCAGGCCTGATCGCCAGTAGGGGGCGCGCAGGAGGCAATCAATGGTTCTCTCTCATGGATGCTTCTCTCCCTCTCTCTAAAATCAATAAAAAACACATTTTAATAAATAACTAAATAAAACAGGGACTACCATGCCTACCTCAGCGACACACAAGTGTCTGGCATGCACACAGTGGGCACTCATCCATATGTCCCAGTGGCAAGGACACAGGACTGCCACCTGCCTCCAGCCTGGGTCCTCCAGCCCAGCTCTCCCCAGGGTGTCTCTTCCTCAGCATCTTACCTGCTCTCTTCACCCTTGGGTGCTCCAGGTTGGGAGGGGGCCTCCCCTCACTGCCTCCAACCCAAGGACTGCATTTGCACTCCAATGTCACACACGCTCACCACACACTTCAAACACAACACAGGCTGAGAGAGACCCATTTGTTCCTTTGCTCCACCAGCAACCTCAGTGGCAGTTAGGAGGAAAACCAAGGCTTTCTCTTTGAGCCCCCAAGGTGGAGAACCAGCCCACCGGAGGGCACTGCGATGGCAGGAAGGTCACCTCTTCTGGGAGCCCTCCCTGACCATCCTCCTGAAGGCAGACCAGGCCTGGGTAGGAAGGCAGTCAGGACACAGGGTAGGTGCACACAGGCATGCGCACGTACACCAAGCACTCAGGCTCTCACAGCTTTATTAGAGGCCTGGAGAGAGGCAGGGGCCCAGCCCCACAAGCAGCAAGACCCCCAGAACCCAGGGCACTGTCAGTCCAGGCCATCGGACCTGGTCCCCAGCAGTACTCAGGAGTACTCGCGGGTGAACTTGGCATGGAACTGGCTCAGCTTTTCCAAAAGGGGACGCAGCTTCTCCATGGCTGGCAGGATGGTCATCCTAAAAAGGGGAGGAAGGTAAGCGAAAGGCAAAGGGCGTGGAAGCTGTGGGAAGAGGCTGCGCTGCGGGCCTCACCGAAAGTGGTAGGTGCCTTCCTGCTGTCCGAAGCCGCTGCCTGGCACCACGCAGATGCCGGTCTCCTCCAGCAGGCTCAAGCAGAAGAACATGTCCGGAGCGAGGCCCAGCTCCTGGTGGGAGGGAGTGGGGACCGTCAGGGCGGGGCGTCCCAGGCTCCGCCCTCCCTGTGGATCTGCCCTGCCCATTGGGTGCCCACCTGAGCGCGCTGAATCGCACGTGGGGGCAGCTGTATGCGCGGGAAGGAGTACATGGCACCCTGCACCGGGTTGCAGCGGATGCCAGGAGCCTCGTTGAAGACCTGCTCGGTGAGCTTGGCCTTGGCCGCCAGCTCCGCCAGCACCGCCTGCCTCTCCTGCGGAGGGCGCGCCCATCAGGTGTGCAGAGCGGCCCCANCTCACCGCCCCACCCGCCCCTCCCGCTCACCGCCTGGAACTGCACGAAGGAGGGGTCCGAGGGCTCAGGCGGGCTGACCACCATGTCCAGCAGGACCTGGCCCGGCAGGGGCGGGCACAGCCGCACACTCATCAGCTTCTGCATCTGCTGCTGCACCGCGGCGTCCATGTTCACCACCTCCACGTAGCCGCCGCGGAACCCGCACCTGCGGAGCCCAGGCGAGCGTCGAGGCAGGGCCCCAGGAGGCGGCGGCCAGGGTCAGAAAGCCCCGCCCGTCCGGCCCGCACGCACTCGCCCATGTAGCCCTTGGAGACCGAGTGGAAGGAGGCGAGCTCCTGCTGCTCTGCGTACGGCGGCCCCATCTCCATGAGCACCTTCTTGAACGAGTGGAACTGAGAGCCTTCGGCGTACACGTTGTCC